TTTTTAAATTGCTCATCTTAAAATCATTACTTATTAAGCATCTAGCTTTCATTCAACCCCATGCTATCGTCACCTCAACACTCCCACCATCTTTATTGTTCCTTCCTAATCATTTTTTTTCTCGAATGGAGTATTATTATTATTATTATTATTATTATTATCATAACGATCGTATCTTTATATAATCACCATAAAATATTATTTTATATAATTACTTATCACATATTATAATATTTTACATGTAAAATATTTAAAACATTAAAATTACACATTTTATAAGTGAAATACTTTACATCCTTGACATACACAAGCCTTTCAATTTATTAATTATTTTTCTTTACTTGTTGACCACCTATTAAAAAGATTTTAATTGTATCTATAATGATTTATTCATTAACTTATTTGTTTTGTTTTATAGCCAACATAATAAAAACTATTCAAATAATATTTAATTTACTTCATAAGAAAGAAAGAAAACAATACTTAGATTAGAGGGTGTTTGTTTTAAGTAAAACATGTTATAAGAATGTTTTTTGAAGTATTTATATTTGTTTTCTGTAAAATATATTTTATAAAAAAACAAGTCAACATAAAATATTTTACATTTTAAACTAAGTTCATGTACGGTTTAAACTTGGTTTATTTATTAAAAAAACTATTCAATGAGTTTTTGTAAATTATTTTATGTATAATTTACACATAATATTATCTAATAATTTTAATTACCACCACCTCATCACCATGACATTCATCTTTGTAGCTATTGCCCAACCACCGCCATAACCTCCATCATAGATCCAACTACAACCCCCACCACTCCATAACCACAATGACCTTATTACTTTACCACCATCACAACCCTCAACACCACCATCACCTCTACCTCTACCTCAACTTATATCTCTAGATCATTATGTATGTCGCACGTGTGTGGCGTCGCGGCGAGTTTTTTATTTTTATCTGGAAATGTATAATATCTATCTGGAAAATATAGAGGGATAAGAAAATATTATCTTTTGTTGGTGGAAAATAGATTGGGAGTCGCCACCTAGTATTTTGATCACTAGGAACCCTAACTGGTCTCAAATATCGGGTATGGGGACTGGTTGCGTAAAGGGAAGGTATTAGCACCCCAAATA